GGCCACCGCGGCGGAGCGGGCTTTGAGCGAGTTGCAGCTACTCCTGGGACCGAGCTGTTGCGCGCCGCTCCGAGATCCCCGCCCGCTGCCGAGGCCCTCTTCCAGTCCCGGAGACCCCTCCCCTCCCACGAGGCCCCCTTCCCTTCCCGTCACGCCGCGAGGTGGGCTTCGGACGCACCCTGGGTAGGGGGCGTGAGGTGCGCCGATCGCTGCCCAGTTAGGCGGCCTGCACACTGTGTGCGGGAGCCCTCGCTGACTGGGCTGAGTCGGGAGGCACGAGGCTTTTGGGGACACTCTTGGGCCCCTAATACAGCCTTATCAAGAGGCTGGGTGCACTGGTGACAAACTGGTCAGTCCTGCAGGGGCATCCGATCCGAAATAAATACCCACAGACGGTTGTGGTTTCTAAGAAGGAAGGGAGTTTGCGAGGTGAAAGTTGGAAGTGCATGGATGGGTGCCTCTGGACCAGGGTCTGCCTACCTCGACACTGTTGCCATTTGGTTTGGAGAATCCTCTGCTATGGGGCTGTCTCGTGCATACGGAATGTTTACCTGGCCCCTGCTATCTCCAGCGTGACAGCTGAAGATGCCTCCAGTTTTTGGCCTGTGTTCCTGGACTGGCTGCCCTAATGTAGAGGGTGCCATAGAGGGCCTCAGGTCCTGAAAAGGACTCTTGGTGAAAACAGTGAAGGATGTGGGAGGGAGAGGATACTGCTAGGTGCAGTAGGGGTGAGGGGGAATGAGGTCCCCTTCCCCAGGAAGCTTACTTAAGAGGCCAGAGGGTGGGGGTTCCTGAGGGTAGGTGGGAAATGCTTCCTTGTCCCAGACTGGGTCCCATGTGGATGCCCATGATTCCATGCACTTCTCACGCCCTTTCCTGTGAACAGGATGGATCCAGTGCGGATCGCCGTCCGGGAGGCTGTTCACATCCTTTCATCTTCTAAGGATGGTGGCTGCATCTTCTCTACCCTGGAGTCCCTGAAGCATTATCTCGGAGGAACAGAGAACCCAGCCCTCCCTGGGGAGCAGGAGGAGTTTGCCAGGGTCCACTTCTCTGCCTTTCTCAGATGTCTTGTTGGCAAGCTGAGCCCTGACTGGCTGGAGCTGCTGCCCAATGGCCAGTTAGAGGAGTTGTGGGCCAGCTTCTTCCTGGAGGGCCCCGCTGACCAAGCCTTCCTGGTGCTGATGGAGGCCCTTGAGGGTACTGCTGGGTGAGTGGGGCTGAGTCTCATTACAGGGTCACTCGTCACATCCAAAGCATTAGCAAGCCAATGGCAGGGCACCTGAAAATTAAAAGTGGTTTGAGTTAACCTCTACCATGGGATAGCCCTTGCTGTCTATCCTGTCCCTGATGTGTAGGCGAGGGGAGGGAGCAGGAGTGTTTGAGTCCATGCGGCTGAGGCAGAGGCAGTGGGTTAGCTCCAGACTGAGGTGACACTGGTGGCAGTGCATTGCCATCCCCTTGGGCCCTCTCCTTCATCCTGTGGTTCCCAGCTCTGCAGTGATGCACTCAGGTGCGCGCAGCAAGCTCATGGGACCACTCACTTGGGGTGGTTCCTAGATTGCACATCAGAGCACAGGACAGTCCTAGGGGGGATGCCTTGCTGTTGGAAAGCTGGGTTTTCAGTGGTAGCTGAAAAAAGCACGTACCATGTTAAAAGCACTGCCAGGAGAGGGCGGTGGTGTCCAGTATGATTCCAAGGCAGGAGGCTGCTCTGGGCTCTCAGCAGGTGCTCGTGCCCCACTGGTAATTGTAGTTATTTAGCAGCAAGATTTAAATACTCTTCCTTTCAATGTAGGTGGAGGACATGAGGGCCAATTAAGTTGTTGGGATTACGTGTTTCATGACGGCTGTTGCTACTCCTTTTGGCCGAGGATGCTGAGGGGGGAGGGGCTTGGGGCTCTGCCCATCACACCTGCTCTTGGTTCAGTCCCAGTTTTCGTCTGATGAAGATGGCGAGGCTGCTGGCCCGGTTCCTGAGCGAGGGCAGGATGGCTGCTGTCATGGAGGGGCAGTGTCGGCAGCAGACGGAGTTGTCCTTTCCTCTGCTCCAGGAGGCACTCCTGATGAAGGTGGTGAGCTTGCCCGACCGCCTGGGCAACTGTCTGCAGCATGAGAACCTAGCTGAGTTCTTCCCTCAGAACTACTTTCCTCTGCTCGGGGAGGAGGCCGTGCGGGTGCTGCAGGCTGTCGTGGACTCTCTCCGAGGTGAGGGCCCCTCAAAAGCGTCCCTCTTCCAACCATTTTCTCGGGCTGCCGTCCCCTCCAGCCCTCCCAGGGCCTCTGGGTGCTTTGCAGTCTCTGGGTGGTGCCATTGGTGGGTCAGAAGTCTCCTGTTTGGGGTGGTATTGACCCAAATGCTGCAGTTTCACCCACTTCTTGGCTATTAACCTTGGAGGTGGAGCTGACTCCTGATTTTTTCAGTTCTTGGGTAGAGACTCGTGAGGCCAGCCAGGTGGGCTGCTCACTGCTGGGTCCTTACTCAGTAACAGCTGGACTGTCCCCAGTCTGAAAACTGGAGTTCTTACTGTGATGAGGGTTCCTCTGAAATGGCTGTTGACTACGGTCTGCTTGTCCTTGTTGGCTTGGGTCTGTCTCAGTGTCTTTGCCATTGGTCATCTTGGGTGCCTGGAGGGGCACTGTGGGAGAGGCTTTTTGCTCACCCTCTCATCACAAAGCCTTTGAAGTGTCATTTGTGGGGGCAGGTGTCTTGCCTGGGAGTGTCCAGTACTCTAGCTGCTGAGGTTGTGGAGCTGGCACCAAGTTGGGTGCTGCTCGAGTCCCTTTTTATATGTTGCTTCATGGAGTCCCAGGACCATTCTCAAGGGAGGCAGCATCACTGTCTAGGGCAGGGGTGGGGAACCTTTTTTCTGCCAAGGACCATTTGGATATTTATAACATCATTCGTGGGCCATACAAAATTATCAACTTAAAAAAGCGAGATTTATTGAATTTCAAGTCCTGCCTGTGGTTCCCTTGGCAAGTGATTTTGAGGGCTGGGCCGTATCCATGGGCCCGAAGTTCCCCACCACTGGTGTAGGGGGGAGAGACCCATAGGGAAGTGAGGCTTTTATCTCCCCAGGCCTTCCAGCCCTGCTGCTTTTTGCTGGGTGATGCCAGTAGGTTCTGAAGGTGTCCAGGATGTTTGTGATCTACTTCACTGTGCAGTGGCTATGCAGGCGCCCCTCTTCAGATCACAAACATCACCTTTCCATCGTTGCCGTTGTGCGTGGGTCCCGTCTGAATCCTGGTCGGCTCCGTCATCCTGGCTCCTCTAGTGGAGCCGGGAAGGCCCCCCCCCCTTCTTGCTCCTATGTCCTGGTTTCCTCCCTTCCTCCCTGTGGGAGGCTCGGCGCTCCACCTGCCCCTGGGAGTAGCTGGCTGCCTTGGCCAGACCCCTCAGCGCTTCTCCTCCCGGTGCTGCAAGTACCCTCCCTACTTCGGAGGAACACTTTGGTGATTAAGTGGGCAAATATGTGTAAAGCTTTGTATTTATTTATATTTATTTATTTTTATTCTCATCGGAGGATATTTTTTCCATTGCTTTTCAGAGAGTGGGAGGGGGAGAGAGAGAGAGAGAGAGAGAAACATTAACATTGATGTGAGAGAGACACATCCATTGGTTGCCTCCCACACATGCCCTGACCAGGGCTCGGGATTGAGCCTGCACCTGAGGTACGTCCCCTTGGCCAGAATTGAACCCAGGACCCTTCAGTTCCAGGGCTGAAGCTCTAACCTCTGGGCCAAACGGGCTAGGGCTGTGTACAGCTTTTAAAACAGTTATTGGCTCTTCAAGTTAGAACAGTCCTATTAAGGTTATGGTTGGATGAGATTGAACGAGCTGGCATTTTCACACCATGGAGTCCGCCTGCCCGGGAATGAGGTCTGTTCCCACCTGTCAGGTGTTCTTTGATAGCCTTACTGCTGCCCTCCTTTAAAATCTCGTTTTCCTTCGTGTCCCAGGTGGCTTGGACTGCTCAGTCTCCTTTGTGTCTCAGGTCCTCGGGAAAGTCTGTGTCTACGGGAGGCAGAGTGAGTGTTTCCTGTCTGGGAAGAAGCCACAGCATGTTTTGGTCCTCTCCCCCGTCCTCCTGGTGGCTGTCCTGGGAGGGGGTGGGTGGTATGTTTCCCTGGCGGAGGGTGGGAGCATTGCTGTGTGTCCCGAAACAGCAATGGTCCCCCTGCCTGGGCCTGGTTGTAGGTGGGCTGATGCCAGCTGTCCTGGGCTCCTTGGCAGGGGCTTGGCTATGCAACTGGTGGGCCTTCGGGCTGCAGACACTGGACGCCCCATGGCCCCCGGCTCAGGGCCTCCTGTTTGCTTTCCCTCAGAGGAGATCCTGGGTGTGCTGGTGCCCAGGCTGACAGCGCTCACCCAGGGCAGCTGCCTCTGGCAGCGGGTGTGCTGGCGCCTGCTGGAGTGTGTGCCTGACCGGGCTGTGGAGGCCGTGCTGACAGGGCTTGTGGAGGCTGCTCCCGGGTAAGGAGCAAGGCACCCTTCCCGCTGCAGATGCTTCTCTTGCAAGAAGGTGGAAGGTGGGATCCAGGTGACACCTTGCCTGCCCTCCCTTTGTACGTAGCCAGCTTCTCCTTCATAGGAAAGGCTGGCCACCCCTACTCTGGGTGAAGTATTTAGCCCTAGATGCAGTCAGATGCACTGAGGTGCCGGGCTCTTCCTCGTTTCCACATTTATCAGGAAGAGGGAGAAGCAGGACCTGCTGGGAGCTGAAACGCTCCGCTCCCCCAGGCTCCCCGGATTAGTGCGGAGCCCGGGGTCCAGCCCGATACGTTAAGATTCCCTCTCTTCTCAACCGTGCTTCACAGGCCTGAAGTCCTCTCTCGACTGTTGGGGAACCTGGTGATGAAGAGTAAAAAGGCCCAGTTTGTAATGACCCAAAAGCTCCTGTTCCTGCAGTACAGATTCACGGTGAGAGTGCCAGCAGGGCTGCGGGCTGTGGGTCGCCTCGGGTCCCAGAGAAGTGACTGCAGCAAGTGTAGGTGGAGCAGTGCTCAGCTGCCTGGGAAATGCCCCTGTCCTTTAGCCCAGACCCCTTCCTGCTCCAGGACTCCTGGGCAGACAGCCCTTGGCCCCCTGGCCTCCCCTGGCCAGGCAGGCGGCAGGTGGGTGGTATCTGCCTGGGGGACAGTGACAAGATGCACGGCTTCTGTTGCAGACGCCTGTGCTGCAGAGCCTGCTGGGGTACCTGGCCATGGATAGCCAACGGCGCCCACTCCTTGTACAGGTATGTCCTGTCTCGCCCTCAGTCACTGCAGTGTTCCAGGACCACCCACTGGTGGGATGGGGAGGGAGAACCCTTCTGCCTGGGATGCAGGGGAGGCAGGTGGGGCTGTCTGACCAGGCCAGGGCTGTGCTGCCCACCAGGCCCTGAAGGAGCTCCTGGAGACGTGGGGCAGCAGCAGCGCCATCCGCCATGCACCCCTGCCACAGCAGTGCTATGTCAGCAAGGCTGTCCTTATCTGCTTGGCGCACCTGGGGGACATGGAGCTCCAGGACAGCCGGGACGGTGAGCTGGTGGCACGGGCACCCTTTCCCCGTTGCCCCCCTCCCCCATGCGCACGCTCAGCATGTGTACGACTGTGCTTCCAGAGCTGCTGGCCAGCCTAATGGCAGGAGTGAAGTGCCGCCTGGACAGCAGTCTGCCTGCTGTGCGCCGCCTGGGCATGATTGTGGCCGAGGTGGCCAGTGCCCGGATCCACCCTGAGGGGCCTCCCCTAAAGTTCCAGGTTAGCAGTGGTCTCCCCAAGCTGCTGAACCTCCAGCCTCGGTGTCACCTCACCTTCCTGGGTCCTTGCTCATGGAGCATCTCTTTGTTAGTGTGAAGTCCACCTTGGTGGCCATGCTGAGGGTTCATAGCTTAGACTAGGGGAGTGGAGGTATAGCCCCTCCGCTGTGCTCGAGCAGCTCCCCCAGGTGGATCCCTGGGTGTTTAACTCTCAGGCCATCCTAGGCATCCCCTCCTCTCCCTCTGCTGAGCCCTCTGGGACATCCTCGGGGCATTGCCGCATTTACTCCGTCCTGGGGGATTCTTAGCTCCCTCAGGAAGGGTGGGGCCCTTTAGCCTTCAGCACACTTAGCGCTGACCTCTGCCAAGGTGGAGACTTAGAGAGCTGCTTTTGAAAGGCTCTGGCTCTCAGAGGCTGGAGGTGTACAGACCGGGGGCTGCAGTGGGAGGAGGGCCTTGGAGGGGCCCTGGCTCTGCTGCTCTGCCTGTCCCATCCCGGCCGACTCCGGATCTTTTCTGTTGTAGTACGTAGAGGATGAACTGAGCCGCGAGATGCTGGCCTTGGCCACCCCCCAGCCCGCTGCTGACAGCCCTTTGGAGACGGGGTGAGGTCTCCCCCCACTGAGCTCTGGGCATGGTTAGCCAGGTGGGGGCAGTTTCTGCAGGCGTGTTGGACTCCGTCTCATCCTGGACTCCAGTTGCTGAGACAGAAGCTAAGAAGACTAGGGTGGGGGGTGGAAGAAGCGTTTCCTTGGGAGGCATAGGTTCTGGGACCAGAACTTGTGAGGTTGTCCCTGAAGGGTTCCTCTTTGTTTCCCAAAAGCCCATCTGTCGCTGCAGAGATCCCTGACAAACAGACTGTAGGTGGTGGAGTCCCCCAGGTGCCGCCTCAGGGCTCTGACTCCGAGCTTGACAGGTAGGACAGAGATCTCGGGTGGGAAGGCACTGAGGCCTGGGCAGCCCCATGCTGGTGTCAGAGCCCATGAGGTGAACTCAGGGGCCGATGGGCTTGTCTCGAGATGAGGGGTCAGCCTATGGCGCCCTGCTGACTCAGCTTTCTCCAGGCTCTTTTCCCAATGTGAAAACCAGCATGGAGGGGCTCAGCTTCACTGTAGCCTTAGCCCATCAGCTGTTCTTGAAGCTTCAGGGACTGGGAGATGAATTTTTATTTTTTTATCTTTGGAGAGAGAGAGGGAGGTGGGGGGGGAGGGGGAGAAGGGGAAGAGAGAGAGGAGAGACATGGATTTGTCGTTTCACTTATTTATGCATTCGTTGGTTGCTTCTTGTATGTGCCCTGACGGGATCGAACCCACAACCTTTGCGTATTGGGACAGTACTCTAACCAATTGACCTACCCATTCAGGGCCTGGGAGATGAATTTTGGTGATTCAAGAGCTTGTCCTGGTGATGGCGGGCGCACCGAGCCTCAGCCCCCTGCTCCCCCCCCCCAGTCACCTTTTTTCTGCTCCTGGGTGACACGCAGGCTCTTCCTGTCTTTGTTTCTTCCACAGTGATGACGAGTTTGTCCCCTACGACATGTCAGGGGACCAAGAGCTAAAGAGCGGCAAGGTGCCCATGTATATCCGGGACTGCTTGGAAGGTGGGCCTCTCTCTCCACACAGCATGGGCCCCACTGAGTGTCCCTTGGCAGGGTCCCAGCCCTGAGCACAGCCCTGCTCTGGGATGGTTGGGCAATGGGATCCGTTCATGTTCTGGGGATTCACCTGCCTTTTGCCCAGGGCCCAGACCCTGGCTGCTGGCTCTGCCATGGTCAAGGTCAGGGCCAAGGAATGATGGAGTCCTTTCTGGGTTCAGCCCTGACCACGTCTGAGGACTGGGAGCGCTGGGAGGCAGCCCTGCAGGCCCTCGAGGGACTGGTCTTCAGGAGTCCGGCTGCCACTCGGGAGGTGAGCAGGTAGGGGAGCTAGGCTGTCAGGGTCATGGGGGTGGTGGTGTAGGCAACCTTCTGGGAGGAGCATGTGCCCTCAGGGAACCTGGCCTGGCTTGTGTTCTGTGCTTCAGTGTTCCCTAGGAGTCCTGTGTCTGGGCCTCTACTGGGATGGGAGGTGGAGCACACAGAGCCCCAGGCTCTCCGAGATATGTCCCTTTCATTGTAAGGAAAGCCAAAGACTGTGGGGGGCCTGGGACAGGTTTTGGGGGGCTGAAGCACCCTGAACCATGTTTGTAGGTGAGTGTGGAGCTAGCCAAGGTTCTCCTGCACCTGGAGGAGAAGACAAGCGTGGTGGGATTTGAGGGGCTGCGCCAGAGAGCCCTGGTGGCTGTCACAGTCACAGACCCTGCTCGGGTGAGTCCCAGTGGCTTTGAGATGCCGAAGTCATGCCCCCCAGCTAGTGTCTGTGTTGGGGCCCTACCTCCAGGGTTGTGATCCATAGCAACCTCTCATCTGCCTGGTTCAGGTGGCGGAATATCTGACCTCACAGTTCTACGCCATCAACTACAGCCTCCGGCAGCGCATGGACATCCTGGACGTGAGTGCCCCGGGTCCCTGTCCCACTTCTCAGGCCCAAGCTGCCCTAATGGGAGGGGCCAGGCCTGGTGCAAAGCCAGGGAGCAGGTGTTTGCCAAAATCTATGAGGGCAGGACCAGAGGCCTTCTGAATACTATATCACTGCACCTGAGAGCCTGGGACCAGCATCTGTCAGATAAAAGGAAGGGAATCTTGTTACCTGCTACAGTGTGGATGAATCTGGAGGATGTTTTGCTAAGTGAAATATGCCAGACACAGAAAGATAAATACTGTATGATTCTTCTTACATGAGGATCCTAGAGGAGTTAAAATCTTAGAGACAAAGTAGAATAGTGGGTGCCATGGGCTCAGGGAGAGGGGTGGGGAGTTAGTGTTTAATGGGGACAGGTTAATTTTGGGAAGCTGACGACATTCTGGAAGTGGATAGTGGTGACAACAGTGTGCATGTACTTAATGCCACTGAACTGTGCACTTAACAGTGGTTAAAATTGTACATGTTGTGTATCTTACTAGAGTAAAGCAAATACTAAGACAACACAGAAAATTCACCATTTTACTCTTTACAATTCATTGGCATTTGGTACATTCACAGCGTTGTGTGACTGTCACACCTGTCTACTTTCAGACAAGCTCGCATCACTAGCAGAAGACAGCCCGTGAGCACTCACTCCCCCTCCCGAGCCCCTGTAACCAACCACCAGTCCCTCTTGTTCTCTGTGGATTTGCCTGTTCTGGGTGCTTCCTATCGGGGAAGTCATACTTGTGGCCACCTAGGTCTGGCTTCTTTCACTCGTGTTTTCAGGACCCACCCACACGTGGCCTTCATCACCTTTTCCTGTGACGCAGGGGTCAGGATTAGATGCGCTGGTCAGCAGGGAGCTTGCCCACCTTTCCCTCCTGTCCCCCCACAAAGCAAAGTGATACTGAGATACTTGGAACTGACGCTATGTTGGTCCCTGAACCTCCCCCTTTGAAGACGGCAAGAGCCGCTGGTGCTGATGGGACACTCGGTTTACCTTGAGTGAGATGTTATCCTTCCCCAGAGCGACGGCAGCTGCCCTGAGTCTGTCTCTCCTCCAGGTCCTGACTCTGGCCGCCCAGGAGCTGTCCCGGCCCGGGCGCCTCGGGAGGGCTTCCCCGTGCGGCTCCCTGGGCGCCGCGTCCCAGCCCCGCTGCGCCGGGGCTGCCAGCTGGCGGGCAGTGGTGGACGAGAGGATCAGAGGGAAGACCCGGCGCTTCTCCAAGGTCAGCCCAGACTCGGGTCAGGTCCTCACGGGTGGGAACTTTGGGCAGGCTGGAGGCACTGTCTGCATGGAGGTGGTAGTGTGCTGTGGAGGGAGAGTTTTGGGCACAAACTGAGTGACGAGACATGCTGTAGGGTATCAAACTGAACTGGTTTTAAGACATGAGTGCAGAATCAGATGTGAAAAAAAAGCCCCAGGTGTTCTACGTCAGCAGCAGGGGCCCCGGTATGGGCTGTGTTGTTGGGGTCTGCCTAGGCTAGGCTGATCTTGCCCCCCAGGGACATTTGACCACATCTGGAGACATTCTTGGTTGTCATGGGGTTGGGTGCTTCTAGCATCCAGCCTGTGGGGTCCAGGGAGGCTGCATACCTTCCCATGGTGCACAGGGAGGGGTGCACGGACCCCTCCGTGAGAAGGTCCTGCATGGGGGAGGGAAGGCCGTGCTCTGTGTGCAGCGTGGTGCCCTGTGTGTCTGGCAGGGCGCTTCCAGGCAGGGACCGGCTGGCAGCCCCAACGAATTCAACTCAGTGGCTGGCTACTTCTTCTTCCCCCTCATTCAAGGTTTTGACAGGTGAGTGGGAAGTCTGTGGCTTGGAGAACATGAGCCCTGGATACCTCCGAGGACAGGAGGCTTCCTGGGGGGGTGTCTGAGATGGGGCTTTGGGCAGCAGCAGGATCATGGATTAAATGATGAGGTGAGGGCATTAGGTGTCACATTTCTTGTCACAGGTGTCAGGTTTGTGGTGAGGCCAGAGCCTCGATGCTGCTAATGCTCTGCCCACCCCTCCTTTGCCCTTGTTCAGCCTCAGCCTGCGTGGGCTAAGGATGTCCCCTTGGCCACCATCACACAGGGTATGATTCTCTGGTGATGTGGGGAGGGCCAGGGACTGGAGCCCTTCCCTTCAGAGGCAGGCCTGGGGCTGCCACCTTTGCTGTGTGTGGCCCAGTGGTGGCTTTGTATCCCTCAAGTGCCATGGCCCCTCCTTCCTGACCCAGGCCCTGGCTTGTGCCAGGCAGCATTGCAGTGTGACTGGGTGTCTAACACCTTTCCCATATAGCTTGGGTGCCACATGGGAATAGATGGTAAGGAGCAGCATCCAGGGGGCAGGGATATACATTGGCAGCCCAGGAGGCTGTGGAGTTGGCTGAGTGCCTGGCCTGTGCCATTTGCTTGATTCTGTGTTATAGGCCTCTGGTGACCTTCGACCTTTTGGGAGATGACCAGTTGGTTCTTGGAAAACTGGTCCACACCTTGGGGATCCTGATGTACCTGGCTGTGAATACCACGGTGAGCCGGGAGATGGCAGCTGACGGCCCCCACCTTGTGCGGAGTGTGTGCGAGCGCTTTGTTCTTCCCATGGACCTCAGCTAGGTCCAAGGGATAGGAGTGTTTGGACCTAAGTGTCTAAGGTGGGGACTGCTGGGTGCCAGGATTCCTGCCCACTGGCCTCTGTTGTTTCAGGTGGCTGTGTCAATGGGCAAGGCTCTGCTGGAGTTCGTGTGGGCCCTTCGCTTCCATGGTGACACGTGAGTGGCCAGGGACTGAGAGCAAAGGCCCCACATGGACACGGGGGTGGTGGGGGTAGGGGTGGGGGGACTGAATCCTAGAAAGTGGATATTGGGAGGCTGATGGTGGCTCCCAGGGGTGGCCGAGGGGCAGCTTGGCCTTGCACGAAGGAGGCAGCTAGGCAGGGCCGGGTGAGCTTTTGTTGCTGGATGGCTGCTGCGCTCGGAGGAGAATCGGGGTCTCCCTGGCTAGGCTGCGGCTCTGCTGGGGCTGAGCCCTTGGCCTTGCTCAGCAGCTATGTGCGCCGGGGCTTGCTGTCTGCTGTCTCCTGCGTCCTCCTCAGTGTTCCGGCTGAGCGACTGTTGGAAGACCTGCCAGATGAGCTGCTGGAAGCCCGGTCATGGCTGGCAGGTGAGTTCCAGACTCCAGGCTGCAGTGGCAAGTGGACGGGAGGCTGGTGCAGCCTGCAGGGTTCCAGTGGCTGTCAGGGTGTGTCGAACATCGTGGAGATTCCCAGAACTGAGTGAGCCTGTCCAAGGCCCGGCGTGAGTGTTATGTCCCTCTTTATCTGCACTCTAAGTGTCCCCAAGTGTGGGGATGGGAACATGGCCATTGCTGGGGTCACTTTGGGGAGTCCTGCAGAGGGACCTGAGAGAAGGTGCCCTGATGTGGGAGATGGCATCTGTTTTCATTCTGGAAAATTCCAACTCTTCAGAAAGGTTGCAAGACTTAGATTCCCATGCTGCAAGCTTGTGGCACCCAGTGTCCCTTGTCCCAGGACAGGCTCCATTGTCTTGGGGTGCAGGCTCCTTCCTTGGGGTGAGAGCTGCTACCTTGGAGTGACTCTCTGGAGGGATATGTATTTACTCCTCACAGCTGTCTCTCCATCTGGCTAGAGTTCCCAGCCTGGGTGGAGGGAGCACTGCTTTTGCTCAAGGACTCTGTGAAGAGCCCTTTGCTGGTATCTAAGGCGCTTCTCTCACCAGGGACCCCAGCCAGAGGGTTCTGGTGCCACAGGCCTGAAGCCCAGGGCAGCTGGCCACACCAGGCCCCTGCGGGGAATCCGTCAGGAAGACTTAAATGAAACAAAACTGAAGAGGGCTGGCCTGTTCAGCACCATGTAGTGCTGCCTGTGCTGTTTTATTTTCATCTTTGGCAGACGTGGCTGAGAAGGACCCGGATGAGGACTGCAGAATGCTGGCTGTGAAGGCGCTACTGCTTCTGGAGAAACTCAAAGACAAGCTCCTTCCACTGTCTTCTCCTTAGTCCCTTGGCACCATCCCGCTGGAGGAAGGGAAGGCCAGGAGGGCCGAGCACAAGGCCTGAGGAGCCAGGCTGACGCGTGGGCTTTGTGGTACAGCCACCCGTGGTGTGGGCCGTCCAACCGGTACTGAGTGTGTAAGCAGGGAGGCCCCTGCCTGCGCTGCTGTTCAGCCCAGAAGGTCTGAGTGCTCAGCTAAAAGTCCCTGCCAGGGCCTCTGGGTACTGCCCCCAGTGACCGAGCAGCCTGAACGCTGGGGTGGAGGGTCCCGAGGAGGGACACGGGGCAGGTTCTGCAGACGGTTGCAGGGGAGGAGAGGAGGGGCTGCTACTCAGGGCCTGGATGTGCTCCATGGGAGGTGCAAGATGGGCAGAGCAGTGGCTGCTGGGCCCCGTGGGCTTCTTAGCATCGTGTCCTCAACCCCTGTCCTCACCTACAGGCAGGTGATGTTTAAAAAAAACCGACAAAAAAGTAAGAATAAAAGGAGCTACAGGTGCTCAAACCAGTGCTTTGTGGTTCTCACTGCTCGGGCAGGGACCTCAGTGCCCAGACAAGCCATCCAGAGGGGAGACATGAAAACACGGGGCAGGACGGCAGGAAGGGGACACAGGCCTCTGAGGAAATAAACTTTATTAGAGTCTCAGCAGCCGGTGGATGGCCCCCCTCCCCTTGATATTGTGGTGCCAGCTCCTCTCAAAGTGGGAGCTGGTAACAAAAAGAGAACAGGCTGCCTCAGAGAGAATGCACCCAGTGGTCGCTCTGGTGTCTGCTCAGGAATGGTCCTGTGGTCAGGAACTGTGTATCCTGAAACTGTTGGGTGCATGTCAGGCAGCCTGCTTGGGTGCTGGGATGAGGCACAGTGAATATACTAACATCCTCAGTTTGTGAAGTTCTAGAAGTTTCTTCGGCTTTACAATCTGTACTTGGAGAATGCCATGGGAAAAATGAACCAACTCCCTCGGTAGTAAAGGGGCTAAACCAAAATTCCGCAGGACCAGAGACGTGGACGGGATGGCTGAAAAAAACACACTCCCCTTCGAAGCAGGCCAGCCTGTGCCCTGGCCCTCCAGCTATGTATTCAAACACAAAAGGTTTTTTTCCCCCCCCAAAGAAAGGCTCTTACTCCTACTGATAATTAGAAAGTTCCAGAAGAGCTTTTGCAGCAGGAGGCCCTCAGGGGTCGTTCTCCACCTCCTCCATCACCTCCTCGTCTACCTCCTTGGAGTCCTCCATGCTGCTGTGGTGGGTCCGCTCAGGCACAGGGCGCGCCAGAGGGATGCCCAAGCCCTGGTGCACGGCATCTACAGTCCGCTGGTTTACGTAGAAGGACACCTTGGCGGCGGGAAGCCGCCTCCGCATCTCCTCCAGATACTTGTAGGCCTGCGGCACACAGAACAGCCATTACTGGGTTAGCCCACATCAGAGCCAAGGGCCCGTGCCCTTCACTGCGATAAGTGTCCTGAACACCTGCCCCCGGAGGTCACAAGAAAGCCGATCCTGCTTCTCGAGGGAGGGACCTGGGTGCAATCTGCGATTCCCAGCCCTTCCAAGGGCCACCGGTGGTGTCTGAGGACAGCTCAGGCTCTGGTGGTCAGTGCTGTAACCTGTGATCACCACTACCAGCCAAATAGGTACAGCCAGCTTCCTGGAAAGCCCTGTGAGCAAGCAGCCCAGGTATGAGAACCCACATGTGTTTTGGGACCAGGCTCCCTTTAGGATCTGGAAGTACACCCTGATGTACACAGGGAGACCCCGAGGGAAGGATGGATTTGCGTCTCCATCTTTTTCATGCACTCTGGGGCATATGCTTGTCTGCTTGGAGGGCAGGCAGCAATATGTACATGGTTGGTCTTATTTATTTTGACCAAGCATCCACTGTACCCCAGTTAATTAGGCCTGATTAATTTGAGTCCCTTGTATGTATGGTCCTTGATCCCAGGCTGGCAAACTATGGAACTGTCAGGGTTTTCCTGTGGAACTTCCTCTGGCCCTGCCAATGTGAATATGTGGAAGAGCATGAGGGTGCCACACAAAGCAGCTTCAGGGTAGGGGTCTGCGGTAGAACCAGAGTGCTTACATCTGCTATGCCTGCTACACCTGCCCACACCTGCTACACCAGCCCACACCTGCCATGCCTGCCTGCACCAGCCCACACCTGCCCATACCTGCTACACCAGCCCACACCTGCCATGCCTGCCTGCACCAGCCCACACCTGCCCACACCTGCCCATACCTGCTACACCAGCCCACACCTGCCATGCCTGCCTGCACCAGCCCACACCTGCCATGCCTGCTACACCAGCCCACACCTGCCATGCCTGCCTGCACCAGCCCACACCTGCCCATACCTGCTACACCAGCCCACATCTGTCCATACCTGCTACAACAGCCCACACCTGCCATACCTGCCTGCACCAGCCCACATCTGCCCATATCTGCTACACCAGCCCACACCTGCCATGCCTGCCTGCACCAGCCAACACTCACAGGAAGGGCCACCTCATGTGGCTCACAATGTACACTTTATATCGATTCAGAATGTGATCAAGCTCTCTAGGAGCTTTCAGTTTTTCTTTATGAGGAATAGTGATCAGATCTCAGTATTTCTTAAGGATGAAACCTTTAGAGCAATTTTATTTTAGACAGAGGTAACTAAAATATTAAAAGTAAGTAGATAAAGATTACAAAGATAAAAATATAAAGATAAGATATGGGTTTTGGAGAGATGGGTGATGGGCAGAGCACAGCCCCAGGAGCTCGCAGACCAGAGGAAGAGGACCGCCCCTCAGAGAGAGGCTTCTGCAGGTACCAAGCACTTGCCCGCTGTGGGCCAGGCGCTGTGCTAGGCACACAGGACACAGCACGAAGGAGACCGAGGCCGGCCCAGTGTGGTGTGGGTGGCTGGACCTGTGTGGGGAGACGAGGTCTGGCAGCAAGGCAGTGCCTACAATAAGGAGAGAGGAGGGAAGCAGGAGCTGAGGGAAGACCCAGGTGTCAGAAAGGACCCAGCGGTGTAACGGCTTGGTGTGCAGAGCTGATTTCTTTAATAAAGGGCAGGAGCAGAGTTTCTAGAAGGGAGATACAGTCACCAAAGACAGATGAAGGGCATAAAAGAAACATTACTGAACGTCCTGTCCCCCGAAGATGTCCCTGTCCAACATCAGGACCCTGCCAGGACTTGACTCTGGACAGGGCACTGGGAACTGAGCAGGCGGGAGGAAAATGAAGTAGGGAGTTTGGGAGTGAAACAGTAAGGGCATCAGAGCAGCAGCAGGGGTGGCCTTAGCCTGCCAGGAGGAAACTCGAATATGCCTAGACTTTCTAAATTTATGTACAGATTTAAAAAAGATTTAGTTACTAAATCCCATAGGCTTCAAACAATGGTCAAGACAACAAAGAATTTGTTGAAACTTAAAATGCGATTTTTCTGTTAATTTTGAGGATACGGTGGTCTGAGCATCTCCACAGTCCACTTTTGTCTCTACTTCACTTTTTTCTCCTTGTTGAGATTAGAGTTAGTTGTTTTCTCTCAACAAAAACAGGAGTGAGTGGACGTGGTGGGGAGCAAAGAGGAAATAAGTGCTTAGAGCAGGAAATATGGGTTTCATGGTGCTGACCTTTCACACTGGGGGGAGCTGCTGCTGAATTCTGGAAATTTCCTGTGAATTCTGGAGACCTCAGCCTAACAAAGCTGACATAGTTCACTAGCACTATTTCTGAAAATAACTTGTCAATATTCGGTTTGTGAACACTTAGGAAGGGGAACTGAAAGATTCCTTGGGGTCACTGTAGCCTTGCCAGAAACTATCTACTGGTTAACTCAGCTGCTGGTTGAAGGATATGCAGGCACAGGATGTTATGTGGGTTTGGCAAAGTCTATATGACGCCCTTTGGAATAAGAAGGAAAAATGCATCCAGGTGTAATTCTTATATTGATTAGAGGATTATGATAGAAAAGAATGAGGAGAGAAGTTTCTGGTAATGGCAGAGTAATTTATATTAGACCAACCTTCCCACACACAATGGTAAGTTGGGCAAAACATAAAGTGCGCTGGAGAACAACCTCGGGCAGGAAGATGGGAGGGAATCGACATTTGGAAGAAGGGAGGAGCATAAGGTGAGTTTCCATCTAATTGTAACTTTATCACATGGGAGGCTCCAGTCACGCCTACCGTGAGAAGCTAAAAGGCACACAGAAAAAAAATAAAGGCACATAGAAACCCACACCCTTATTGGCTTAAAAAAAAATCAGAATTGGGGTCAACCATAAAACTGGAACGTGAGGAAATATTGGAAGAGAGAGAGTCACTGAGGGAGAGCTCAAATTCTGAGTGTGAACCCTGCCCTGATCTCTGGTGGACCCTGCACACTTCATGTGGTGGGGACGGGCAGGCTTTAAGGAGTGGACCAAAGCAAAAGTACTGAGCAGAGATTCTAGTGGCTGCCCACCATGGGGGAGAGTTTAGACTCTGAATTGAACAAAGATTACAGTAAGGAGGGAGGGAGGGAAGGAGGGGAAAGAAACAAACAGTAATACTCTTAGGAGGAACATAATGGAATCCAGAGTCTCTACAGTGGGTTATTCCATTGGATAACATTGTATTGAGGCAGGATAGTAAGAGGCTAGAGAAATTCCTTGACAAGTGGAATTAGGGAAACTGAGACAAAATAAACAGGCCAAACAATTTGAGCAATTTATAGTCACCTAATGACACTTAGGAGCAAATGGTTTACACGTTCCAGACCATCCTGGAACAGAACAGCCTCCATTTTCAGTCCTTCAATGACGTTCTTTAAAAATGAAACTAACCAGAAAATAACCCGACTCCTCTCTATGCACATTTTGATGAATCAATGTATTGAATGACACACCTGAAAAGCTAGTAAGTATTCTGTTGAGACCTCCCCTAAGATTCTGGCTGGCCAAAGAAAGATAAAAAGGCTCAAGACAAAGGATTCGCTAGAGCATGCCCATGCCTTGTACCTTTGCTGTTTTTCTCCTAAACTCTAAGGGACCCCACGAGATTTGCAACCAGGGGAGCAGTGGGCAGCCTCAGCTTGACCTGGGCTTACCCCCTGAACCTGTTTTAAGGCCCCCTTTTCTCTGAATTTCTCCTATTGCTTCTTGTACCTTAAGCCTTTCCTTTGTTTCACTGTCGTAAGCATTAATAAACATGCTCACAAAATCACCTGGACTTCTCTTGTGAAATCTGTCCTGCATGAAGTCAGGAACCTACACAGTACCAGCAGGCACTAGCCAGACCTGCTCTGGGTCCAGTTCCTGTCCGGTAACAGTATGTCCAAGATACAAAAAAAGTGCTAGACATAAGAAGAAACAGGAAAACTTGACCTATACTCAAAAAGCAAATAATGGAAACCAACTTGACATGATCCAGATGTTGAAATTATCAGCAAAGTCTTTAGAGCAGCCATTAAAACTATGCTCAAGCCCAGCCAGGCATGGCTCAGCAGTTGAGCGTCGACCTAGAATCCAGGCGATCGGGGTTCGATTCCCAGTCAGGGCACATGCCCGGGTT